ATACGCAAGGAACAAATCTGCTCGGTGCATAAAACCTTTGTGTTTGTGTTCCCAGTGTACAAGTTTAGAATAACATTCGGCTCTGATATTGTGTCTCTATTACTTTACTGCTACAGTTAAAAGCCCGGTGGTTGTTTCCACGTTATCTCATTGTTTCTGCTGTGCTGTGAACTCCGAACTATCATGTCGCTCACCGAATCCTGCTATTCCTGTGCTCTCCCATCCAGTCCCCTTCCTAAAATTATTTGTATAGCAGACCACAGTATGCAAAGAGCCATTAGATTTAATGCCTGCTTCTGATCTTGGTTGAGTTATTCCAGCGCCCTTTTTCTATCTCAGGTCCTTCACTGTTGGAGTTAGTCTTGATATATGCTTTATGTCAGAAAAATTAGATACTTTCGGTAATTTTTACATGTAGAGTAGAATTAAAAAAAAAAATACAGGAGAGGAGTCTGTAAAGTTATGCGTACAGTTGTATTATGTAGATATAGCTCCGTTAAGTCTTCAGGTAATGCAAAGATTCATAAAGCAGCTCAGGGTTTTTTTTTAATACCATATGGTTCCCACGACTATCTCCAGAGCTCTACTGCGTTTCCTTCATCCTTGACCATTCCTGTTCATAGTCTTCCACCCTTTGAGAGACTCTCTGGCTTACGGCGTGTGCCAGAGCTGGGGGAGCATCGCCGTTAGCTCAGGTGCACTCTTCCTGCTCCTCATGCCAGAGGCGAGGGCTCCTGCGTACAAGGGGCTACCAAAGGAGCACAGCCACGGGTTTTTACAGTTGTGTCCATGACCATAGCTATTCAGGTCAGTCAAAGCCAGCAAGGAGCCGTCCTCCCCCTTCCCTGCCCTTGTCTGTTTGAGGGGTGGTTTCTGGCAGCAGTTCAGGGGCAGACTGTCAGCGCATCCCCCTTCTCGGCGTTTAGTTGGCCATGTTGAAGAGTTCGGTTGGCTGAGTCCAAGGCCAGCTTCTTCACTGACCAGTGCTGCTGTGAAGAAAGCTGGAAGCGAGGCCTTGCCCTCCTATCCCCTGAGAACTCCTTTTAAGCTGAGGCTTTACTGCTCACCCCTGCCTGTGCTACATTGCAGCTGAGCTACGTCTGCCCCGGTGTCAGACCTTTGCTGGTTTGGCCCCAACTCGGACCCAGAGCCCTTGCTTCCCAGCTTGACCTCGGACCTGCCTCATCACTGCTGCCTTGGTGGGCAGTCATGGAGCGGTGTCCGACCCTGATCACCATCTTCAGCCCCGATCCTGACCTGGACTTGCTGCTCTGCATCTGGGCTCCTTGTCAGCGGGGTCACCCACTCCTCTGCCCTGTCATGTTCTGCTCCAGGCTCGCCTTCCCCCATGGAGCAGATGGCCATAGGCCTCCTTTTCCCTAAAACGACTGCAAGAGGATTGTTATTTTCCTTTGTGTCAGTAACTCTTACTTTAAAGAATCAGTGAATATGCATTTATGCGACGGGCCAGAGGGTTATGGACAAGTCACTCTGTTTACTGCACATTAACAGCTTCCCAAATCATTATGGTCTCAAAGTGCATGGTGACATGGGAAGAAGCTCAGCTTGTGCCAGAAATTCCTTCTTGTGCACAGCTCTACCAAACTCAACACATCTACAGCGGCGTGTGGTTTCCTCCACCGTGTCTTCAAGGCTACCATTAGTGCCTTTTAAGAATCATGGGAATTAATGACAGACAAGGCTTTTTGGATTGTCTCTAATGGTCTCTAATGCAGCATGGCACAAATTGAAGCATATTTCAGAGTAGAGGGCACGAAGCCTACCATGAAGAGGAGAAATTTAGAGGAGGCTTCTGGGAAATGGAAGTATAGTTGTGGCTTGGAGGAAGTAACATGGCTTAAGACAAGATCAGAGATGAAATAGTCCTGCTAAGGCTTAAGGTAGGCAGCACAGCCCCACACCGTTCCCTGACTACTTTCCATCTTCATCACATTGTCCCAGGCATATGCCCTGGGCTAGCAGAGGGAATGAAATTGGGGATGCAACCAAAGGAAGGAAGAAGTGGAGCTAGAAACAGAAAACATCGTTTTTCAGTTTTCCCACTTCCTACCTGTTCCCCCACAGCTCACTTTCCACCAGGAGACATGAGATGCAAATTGGCAGCTTGCGGTTTGAGTGCTCATACAGTACCTCTCAGACTGCAGATGGGAAGGGCAAAACCATCTATGAGAAGCCCTGGCTAATGCCTTTGACAGCCTGGGTGCATCTGCCTCTCTGGACCCCGTTCTGACATTCGGTTTGAAACACCACATCCTGAGCCTCCAGCACCCTCCGCAAGGAGAATCTCTTGGGTAGGAATCAGTGCCTCGGTTGTGTCCCTTTACTTTTGACCGTACATAACACTGTTTTCCCTGTCCTTCCCAGCCTCCAGAATATGATCAGAGAAGAAATACTCTTTATAGAGAGAACTATCTAATGCTGAGTTTAGTTATGGGACTGATTTTAGTAAAAGCAGTTAAGTAGTAGGGGACTAAACATCTAAATAGTTCTTAGACCATCCTGAAGAAAGAAATCTCAGATCTCTGAAATTTAATGTTCAAACTCTATCCTTCTTTTATTCAAATAAGGAGCTTGAGAACACTGCACTAGTCTAAATTATCTTTAATGAAACCTACTGGACCTTTTCCTTCAAGTAATATTGAATAAAGAATGGATTTCCTATGTAAAAATTTATTCCTAGATGTTTCCTCTGGTGGCCTGTTTCCTTTAAGCTTGACCAAGCCTTATTTAATTAACATGCATTCCCTTGTGTCTGAAACTCTTTAATTGAAATAGTAAATAATAAGCGGTATTTTGAAGAGACAAGGGGTGGCAGAAAACTGCACTGTGATGAAAATACTTGCATACTTATAAGGGTGTGACTGGCTGTATTGGAACCAGCAACTCCAGATGTGCTTGTTCAGAACTGAGAAGTCATTAGCTCAGTGGGAACCTAAAGAACGCATGTATAACCATGGTACATCTTTTTATTTGTATATATATATATATATGTCTCCCTTAAGGAAGATGTTTAAGTCAAGCTACATAGAAACAGTAGATTCAAATGGTTCTTTTTCATACCTACTTGGAGGGTGGAAGGAATAACAAATTTGCCAAACAATGCTCCTAAATTGCAGATTTTTTGAACAGCCTTGCAGAGGAGTCTGTGTGAGTACAGGTATACTCCTTGGCTGCGGTGCAGCCCATCTCTGATACTTAACTGGAAAGAGAGGAAGATAAATGAAAGCAGGCCAGTGTCTGTGTCCTGGGTGGCCAAACCATTTAGAATGTATTCTGCAAGTGGTTGTGCCTGTGATAATCTGATCATCTGGACCACTCAGATCAGATAATTGGCTGTTAATCGGGATTTAATACAGAGCTCTTAATTAGGCAGACTCCCTTACTGCGTATTTCACAAGCAGTGTCGTCCTTTAATACACCCTCTCGGTCCTTCCACTTTTGGCAGTATGTGCCGCTTCCTCATCATTGCACTTTAGAGAAGGAACTGGAAACTCAAGTGCTGAGGTCAATTGGTGCACATGTGGCCAACAGTTAAGTTTACAAAAAGTTGAAGCAAAGGAGTGTAGAAAGACTGAGCAAGTAGATGATTACTGGCTGTGAACTGGCGCTGGAACTAGAGCTGGTCACTGATCTCCGTCCTGGAGGTACCTTGTCCTCGGAAGCCATTTACAACTTAATGAAGTTTGACTAGAGGGATGGCTCCCAGGCTATTTTTCTCGAATGAGTGTAGTTCTTGAACATTCGCTTTCCAGGTTGAATACAAGATACACTCTACTGCTGTTCTCTGGGGAGATGCATATGTATGTACCAAAGCAATGCATGTGTGCATGTATAAAAATTTTTATATATATGTACATACACACATACAGCTTGTTTCTATTGATACTAATTCCTTTAGAATATTTACAGAATGAGAACATGTAAGGCCAGATGTCGTAAAGGCTTACAGGGTAGAAGGAGGTCAGACAGCATCTGAAGCAGAAGCCCCCGAGGCACTGCAGTACCACAGACAAGCACTGTCAAATGTGGAACTCATTCGGAACAAAACATTTTGATTCGGTCAGTTTGATTTGGGAAGATGAAAAGCTTTTGGCAGAACAGGAGTCTTCCAAATTCAGATATGGAAATTGCATTTTCATCAGAAAACTTATTCTGACTGGGAGTCCCTGACTGCCTCACCAGTTTACCAGTGTTAACCTCAGCTTCGTGACACAGTTTCTGAAGGTTGGGAAGCATAATGGAAATGAAATCATTTTGTTATAAATGAACTGCAGATTTTTTTCCTAGGCCTTGTTAAAAGAACTGAGAAGAAAAAGAGGTCTTTAATTGACGGTGCAAAGGTCTTGTGAGATATCCCAGGCTTAGTCTGAAAATACTGGAGAAACATTGTGTGTAGCCTTTGGGAATGAAACCTTCGCTTGTTAATTATTTTCCTTGGAGTTTCCCTTGTGGTGTCATTATGTGCTTCATTAAAGTAAACCAAGTGCAAGTCTCCTTGAAAGATCAGAAAAGGAAGACTGGTGAGTCAATCTGCTCTACTGTTCAAGTGCGGCAGTACCCTAATCTATTATTGATAGGAAACATACGAATAATCATAACATTTAGGGGTCAGGTCCCCCCCTCCCAAAGCATTTCCTTCTTTAGCGTTTTACTGGCTCCTCTCAGCACATGATTGAGGGTAAGCAGATTCAGCCTGTGTAGAGGGCATAGAAGATTAGCAGTAGGGCACAAAGTCTGCCTTAGGCGCTTGAAAGAAAAGAGATTCAGTTAAATAAGGGGGAAATACGACTTCCAGATTTTAGCAATACACCCCCCCCCAGAAAAAAAAAAAAAGGAAAAGAGAGACAAAATTTTGCTATTACCATCTATAAGAACGGATCGTTATAGATTTTCCTTGCATTATTTGAAGATGATGATCACTGCACAAGTCTGTAGGTTTCCTGCGTACAGCCACCTCCTTCAATGCTCTGTCTTTCGAGATGCAACGCAAGGTGTTTCTGCCACCCGTTGGCTGTTTCAGCAATGCGGGAGAAACACTCTTCAGTCAGACAAACGCTGAGCGAGAGACACAGCTACTCCTGCCTTCCCTCTTCCCCTGTCTCCATCACTACAAGGAAGGTGTGGAAGGAACTGCTCAAATTCCCCAGTGCTTTCCTGTGGCAGAGAAGGGTGAGATCGCTTTCTCATAACACAGTGCAGCAAATCTCATAGAGCAGTTCCACCGCAGACTGGAAAGTAACTATACTTTGCTGTTGAAGCTTCTTGTTTCCTTAGGCAGAAGGTGAAGAACTGCAGCATTACTAGGATTGCCAAGGAAGAAGGCAAGAAGAGATACTGTGAATGTAACGTCTCCCCGGGTGCACGGGAGCCGATGAATGTTCCAGTTATTTCTTCTTCCTGAGGAAGACAGAAGTCCTGATGGGAGAGGCATGGTGCTTTGTGTCTTAAGTGGTAGTAGGGCTAACTGTGTAGGCGGATGGGTCTGCTATACCCATGTCTTCTCCTTGGTAGAAAACACTAATGCTTGAAGGACCAAGCTATAGATTTTCACCTTCTCTGGGAGAAAACACTAATGCTTGAAGGACTAAGCCATAGTTTTTCACCCTAATAAGATTCTCAAAGAAACGATGGGTAAAGATCAACCAACCTCATTTCGGTTATGGCACCACTAGAGGGGGAAAGAGTATGAAACATTTGTATGTCAAAACAGTTTCTGTTATCATCATTTTTTCACTGTGCTACTGCCCAAATAGGATTGACTTTTTGCATTTCCTACCCGTGACCAAGCGTTCTTCTCATATTCTGTTGTTGCTGTACCCTGCTCTATGGCAGAGATACAGCTTATTGGTGGTAGTAGTCAACAGGGAGTGGCAGGTACCTCCCCACCCCCTCCAGACCCACCATTATGCTGTGTTGTGACCAGGTAGTTTGGCAATACAAGAGATGGGGAACGCATTTAGAACTAAAGGGTTCAAGACATTAGTCCCTCAAGCCAAAACATGTAGGTATAAAGGTAGATGTATTTTATGAGAATTTCACACCATTACTTGTCCAAAAGTTAAGAGTTCTTAGTGGAGAATGAGCATTAGCCAGAAGTTTGTATCTGTACCTGATGCCACTAGATTTGTTCACATCACACTAGAACTGGAACACAGTCCGTTTCAGGCCTAGTTGCAAGCCCTAAGCAAACATGACTCAGTTCGTTTGCGGTCACTTGGCTTCCGTCTGGCATGAATGCTGCACCCAGCCACCTGGGGCACTGTCACTGAAGACACCCAGCTTGCTCATGTCCCGGGGGATGCTTAGTTAGCTGCAAAGCACAGACTTTCCAGCTCCTAACCCCGTGACTGACGTGCAGGAGTTCAAATGCTGTTCAGGGTAGTGCTGAGCTAAGTGCAGCGTTGTATCATTGTTCTCCCTTCCCCAGCAGTTCACACTGGTAAGTACGTACCTGTTGTTCCTCTGTGGTTGTACGCACTCCTCTCCATTTACTGATGCAACATCTGAAGTGGAATAGTGTCTATTAACTGCAGTATTTCCCATTCCTTTAGGAAACTACCTGCACAAAACCCGCTTTGCATAACAATACTTCTCCCTTTTTCTCATGCTTTCCTCTAGCCTCCTCACACCCAACTCTGAACGGACAGAAGTCAGCAAAATCAGCAAGGGACTCTTTTTCAGCATACAACAGCAAGTACCTCACAGTTCCTCAAAACCGGACTTCCTTGCACACCAGCAGGATCAATGGAGCGTTTGAAGCACCGAGCTGTATGAAGTCCTTCAGCAGTTCTGTAAGTAGGATTTTATGTTCATTTACTTACCTCTAATGGCTTTGAGATGAGGAAGAGGCTTGAAGCAGGGTGAGCAGAGCGTAGTGCACCCTGCCTACCTGTTAGGCAAATCCACACTGTACTGGGAAAAGCAACTGTGTGAGTAAACTGATACTACAGCCTAAAGTAGTTCAGTAGGCTCTCTTAGTGTACAGCAAGAACTAATTGCTACTGTAGTAGTCTCACAGAGCTTTTCTTAATTATTTACTTTAGCCAAAATCCTTCAGAGCAGGTCTAGAGGGGTTGCTGTTACCCTGAGTGCAGGGGAAGATCTGCAGGTTGATGATTAAATAGGCTATCCCTGTGTAAATCCCGAGCCAGCACGTGCCCAGGTGTTAGTGTGGGCTGGATTGGAAGGTGGAAGTGTAGGGTGGCTGGCTGTGGTCTTCAAAGCAGAGCTGTTGTTAGAGGAGACATCTCTTGGGATATGTTTGTAGTGATATATTGGCTATTAGAGGACTAGAATAAAATCGTCATGAAATGCCAATCCTACCTTCCTGTTTTCTTATTGCTTGGTGTGCTGGCTAGTTGTCTTGGAAATGTCAAGAAGAAATGAATGTGGGACTGACGATGGTAATTTAAATCACTGATTGTGACTTTTACCATGGCTGTGGAAGATCTTGATAGATCCTTCAGTGATATTTTGGAAATTGCAGGTTGTTTGTGTTCCTTCCTAACGAGGTCTTCTTGTGCCGGAATGTCACATGGTAAGGAAAGCAGTGTAAATTTAGGGCCGGAAAATGTCCTTACTGAAACCTGTGGGAATCTTGATTTGTTTTCTGTGCAATAGACACACATAACAATGAGGACGGCACTTTTCTCCCAAGAGTGAGGCAAAGAGTCAACAGAGAGGGAGGGAAGAGAGAGGCGCTGCTGTATCTCCTCATCCTATTATTCTGTGTAGCTGCAGCAACACCAAAAGTTGCTATGGTGCGCTCTCAGGTGGCTGGGATGTGGCAGCTGGCTGGGCACAGCAATAAACAGGAAAATCTCTTGGTGACTTTTCATGTTCTCCAACCTCCTTGCTCCCTCTCCCGCATTTTATTTGTGCTTCTCATTTCTGCTCGCACTCTCCGGTAAGGGAGGAGAGGATGCTTAGAGCTCATCTTCTCTAGAGTCAGCTAATGCATTGCATTGTGCCAGTGACCTGGTGGTGGTGACATCATTACTTCTGCACTGTATAGCGTGAAACTCTCTGGAAGGGAGACTAGAAATTTGCAACAGGTTTTTCTTCACTGTGGCAGAGATGGATCCAGGAGGTTTGCATGGACTACCTGTGAGTACTACGTGAAAATGTATCTGACTAGGAAATGGGGAATTGCAATAAAATGCTGTCTCCCAAGCAGTTTTGTATTCTGCCAGAATGTAGTTCTGCGTGTAAGTTTAGATATGCCTAAAGGGACTATATATACACTTTACACATAAAGTGTGTGATAAGTGTAATGTGCAGAACAGATTATTTGGTGATAATTTCATGAAAGAATGAAGGATGTAGTATGTATATAAAACCAAGATTTATTTAATGGTATGGTGACTGAAAGCTACTTTGTGGGAAACTAAGTGAAGCAAAACAATGAAAAACAAGAATTTGAGAGATGTTTGGGTATATAAAAATATGTACATTTATAGAATACCTTCAAAAATTCATGTTGTGTTATCAAAGGAGAAAATTGCCGTACAGCATGCTTGGTCAACTTTGCATTCAGGACTACCAGTGCATGTAATGGAAGGGGAGGTAGGGAGAGAAAGAAATCTGTAACCGGTACCTGTCGAGATTTTGATTATATAGCCACCTATGGGAACCATAAATGTCTGGAACTACGTTATGGGTTGATTGCTTTGGATCAGGTTGACCCTATTTTTTTGCTTGCATCCCATTCTCCAGTCACTGGAGGGCTGGTGTCACTCTAATAAATGACACTGTAGAGAGCTCTGTGAAGGATTTTAAGCTACAGCATTGAGCTGGAAATGATGGTTGGTAACAGTTTTGGAAAACCTGGGCTATGTCAGTGAACAAGAAGTGAAAGTGAATGCCTTAAATTTGGTATCAGAGCCTCAGAATTACCATCCAGGCTGGGGCGTGATGGTGGGGGTTCGTACTGGACTGGAGCAGCTTCATCCCAGAAGGGTTCGGAGAGTGGAAAAGAGGAGGCGAGGACAGTCCGAGAGAGTGACTTAGCACAACGTAGGCTATTTGAATTGTTTTAGTCATTGTTCTCCTTTTGCAGTGTTACCAGTCAGTCACATAGTCTTTTTCTAACATGTTAAAATACAGGTCAGCTAGCCTTGTTAGCCATCCATGGGGCATATCCTCTCTAATCCCTGGTATTTTCCAAAGTGTTTCTGTCCAGCCCTACCCTCCTTACCCTTGCACTACATCAAGGCTATTTCTCCCATTCTAGCTCAGATCAGTTTCTTCCCTTTCTTCCCGCACACAGTTTTTTGCTTCCCTCCCCTGCCCAGCTTTGCTCCACAGCACATCCTTTCTCATATCCCAAGCTGTAATGTGATCCATATTCTCACTTCTCCATCCCATTTCAAAATGCAGCTGTCTTCTCCTGTATGGTCCATGTATGTGCCTCCGTACCTGCCCGTCAGGTAGGTATCCCATTCCTTGGGATAAGGCCGCTATCTTTAGCCACTCTCACTTGTTTACGGTCGGAGGAGGTCAGCGTGACTTAATCTGGTCTGCAGAGTGCATGTTTGTAGGTCATACTTACCCCTGACTGACCTCCAATTTTGTCTCTGCGCAGCTTTACGTGCTTGTGTGGAGACAGACCCTGCGCCTGCTGCCTTCTTGGGCTTTCTGGCTTTCTTGTCTGTGAGACTTGTGTGTTTCTCTCCCAGATTATAAACAATTACCTGGATGGGATGCAAGGAGGGGCCGTGGACAAGGCATCCCTAAGTGGCAAGCATTTCAGGGACAGCAAGAGAAAGGTCGACTACGTGTTAGCCTACCACTACCGAAAACGCCTCGCTCGGCACCCGCCTGGTGTGGGCTCACCAGAGCCGACACGCGCATCTGCCTCCTTGGCCCTGGTTTTGAATGGAGGGACCGAGCTGGGCCGTGCCCAGCCGCAGCAGCAAGATGGTGGTCAGCGTGACCTGCAGGAGTGGCCGGGGCTGCCGGGGGATGAGGTGATCGAGCTCGGCCCGCTGGATGCTCTGGAGGAGGAGAAGCGGCTGCAGCGGGAGGAGTACGAACGCAACCTGGTGGAAGCGGGGCTGGAGATAGAGAAAGACCCTGAGGTAAGAGGAGGAGACATGCTCCTCACACGCGGCTCCAGGCGCCCTGACAGGTAATGGCCACTTTGGTGTCGGCAGTGGCTGTGTGCAGGACGTAACCATGGCCAGGCCGTGGTGGCGGGGCAGCCCCGTGGTGACTGGGTGCCCAGAGCATGGCTGCCCGCTCTCCCTGCTGGTGGGGAGGCCAGGAGCCCCGCTGTGGCCATGCGTTAGGGCCCAACCTGGCCTGACTCCATTTCTGCCCTGTGTTAATGTTGACCGAGAAGCAAATCACACCCGTGCCATCTCTTAAAAAATAAGAATATGTGCTGCTTTCGTTCTAACGCAGCCTCGCTGACTCCCCCACCGTGGCTTCTGCAGCCGCAGCAAGCGTGGGATGTCCTGGAGGTATACTCATGGCCAGCTTGAGGAGCTAATCCTGAAGACAGCTTGTTACTGCTGAACAGTGGTTCATTACTGAACATCCCTGAGTCAAATGCTGCCACGGCAACCCCCAATTAGGGATCTGCAGAAATATGTTGTACAAGCTATTTTGTACATTCCTAAAATATGGTGTGAAGCCAAGAAGAAGATGGCAGGGGGTTTTCTGTGTTGCTTCGTTCTTACTGCCTGGGAAATACGTGGTTGTTATTGTTGTTCAATGCACTATTGAGCAGCAATTTCAATCTTACTTCAGTGGAAAACATAATTCTTTATCTAAACGTCCTTAAGGCATGCAGTGAACACATTTTTCTTTAAAAAAAAGAAGTTTACATTTTAATATTGTTAAAATGAAGAAAGGCTCTCTTAAGTAGTTTGCTGAAATACAAAGTGCTGTTAAGACATATTTCTTCAGAATAACTCAGTGATTTTCAGTGTGACTCTTAGCTTTCTTCCCAGCCATAGCTAAGTTTTGTGCCATTTCTTCGTTCCACCCACAAAATGAACAGCTCCTACGCTGCGACAGGAGAACCTCCCAGCCCTTAATGTATATATTCTCCCCACACGTGCATGATGTTGGATAGTGCTACGGCTGTATCAGCGGGGAGCTGTGGTTAGGTTACTTGACTGCAGCCAGTCGGTCAATTGAGCACGGGTCTTCCAAATTCCATGATGATGCACTGAATGCTGTGCTATCCCTCTGGACCTCTTTGAAAGCTGTGGATATTTATATGCATTGAAGGGAAGTCGCCGCTGGGTTCTAGTTTTAGGTGCTCTATTGTTTTTGACACCAAATTCAAGAAACTTAGGGCTTCTTTTCAGAGGTGCTGAGAACTTACAGCTCGTATTGCTTTCAGTGCAACCAGTCAACACTTCCGAAACGTAGACCAAATCGCAGACTGCATCTGAATATTTGAGGCTCGCGGACTTGGCATAGCGTACGCACGTTAAATCACTGGCAGGAATTGAAAGAAATAGAAAGGCCTTTTGACTCTTAACATTTTCCTTGCTCGGTTTGCTGAATTGCAGGTGGCTATGGGTTGTATTTCACTGCACAGCCTGGCTGAGCCATCCTTGCACTGAACAGAAAAAAAGTGATGTCAGATCCTGATTCTTTTATGCGAAGCATTGGGGTTAAGGTTCAATACTGCTAACACATGACTGTCTTACTGCTATGATTTTTATAACCAAATTGCATAAACCCCATGAGAACAGCTGTTTTTGGAGGCTTCCATCAGTTCTGAATTTCATTAGAACCTGAAAAGTCTAGCAAGAGATTTGGATTTGATTATTCAACTCATTACTTACCCGAAGTCCAGCTGGGTTCAAATTCTGGTTCGGACCCCTTCCAAATGATGATGTGCACTCTTAAACAATATACAGAGTAATGAATGATGTCATAGAGAGCTGATCATGAAAAAACCTTTTGTCATGGTTTTCCTTCTGAAAACCAAAAGGATTTTTGTAAATGAACTGGAAAGTCCTGAGGAAATTATTTGGTGACCAGTTCTTTTATGGGAAAAATTACTTGATTTTGAAAACTACAAAAAATGCAATCCCATCGCTTCTCTATCCGTATATGTGTATATACGTAGTCACTCCTGCCCCAAAACACACAAGCTGTCTAATCAAAAGGTTTTTCCCTACAGGATCTCCTGAGAAACTGGAAGAGAATATGCATTATTCTTTTTCTTCCCTGCCCAAGACATGTGGCTTTTACTTTCTTTTCTTTTTCTCACTTCACTGTTGTTTTTTTTTTTTCTCCTGTTAGTTAACTCCTGTTAAAACATGCTGAAGCTGCTGTCTGTTATCTTGCTGTGAATTTCATAGAACATGCTGATTAGGCACATGTGAAGGCAACAACTTGCCTTATATGTTGATTAAAATTGTATGTTGAGCTGATATGGGAACGACTTCTGATTTTAGTCCTGTGGAAAATGTGTGTCTATATGTTCATTAAACTCAGAACGGTCTTAATCACATCATGCTGTATTTTTGGTGTATAACACAGTGGACTTTCAACTACTACATTTCTAGTGGTTTATGCTGAACATGCATGTTTGTTGGGTGGTTTTTTTTTGTTTCAGTGCTAGTATAACAAGTGGATCCTTTTTATATAGTATTACTGGAAGTCAAGACATATTCTCTAATACCTATCTCACTCTTGCCATATGTTCTGGACCAGGTTTTAAGATGAGTCTGATCTCCTGCTCAGAGGGCTGGCGGCAAAGGTAACTGAAAACAGTCCTCTCTGCTGCAGCCTCTGTCTGAGGGATTCCACTTTTGGACCCTTGGGTTAGAGCAGGCCTTGGTTTCTCTACCTTATGTCACATGCATACAATCTTAGAAAGAAAAATATGCATTTAAGAACAATAGGATATCCTGAACACAATCTTTTTCCTGAAACAGCATCAGTTTTTACTTGAAGCAGTAGCGAAGGAAGAGGGCAGAGGGTGTCCGCTATGCCTGCAGTCTTCAATGAACATCTCTGCACTGTCCTTTCTAGGTGGCCTATAGTAGCTATACAGTTAAAAAATTATCTTTGATAGGGCCTATGTAGTTCTAGTTCTTGTTAACCTCACTGCTTGAACAACAACAACAAAAAAAAAACCAAACACAAAAAATGCAAACAGCAAAAAAGGGATCAAGCCATTGTCCTCTTTTTACTGATGCTGTGGGAGTCGTGAAGGACATATTCACTGGGTAATACAACCGATTCAGCATTTAATGACTTCTAAGGTGTCCAGGACATAAGGGCACCTGTCGTCTTCTAGCTGAGAAGTTGCTTAATCTATGATCTCGGTTAACCCTATTTTGTAAAGACTGTAAGCTTGATTAACTGAACTGGACCAAGCACAGCTTCTTTTGCATTGGGCTAATCCGTCTACTAACCTCACAGAATACTGGAGTTCCTCTAGAAGCTGCTTTCGTAGGCTAAGACTATTTAGACATCAGGAAGTTCATCTCTAGGAACACCGGATAGCATTATGACAATTTAAAAATCTTTATTTCTACAACTATCTTTTTGAAAAAGTGGGAATTTCCAAGAAGTTAATATGTTTGTTAAAATATGATGTTAATATGGTTGTTATATGCTGAATAACTAGGATCACTTTTCTCATTTGTATTGTCAATTCATTGCGTAAAAGAATAGAGACAAGAAAGTAAATGAAGATGTAGAATTTATATGTGGAGAAGGGAGTATTACTCTTTTTCCAACATGTGGAAAATAGGCAAGATTATGGTCTTTCTCCATATTCAACCAGTGAATTAAGGAATTTTTTACTAGTTTTCAACTTCTTTATAACTTTCTATCATTTGTTATTGCTGTCCTCCAAAGGAACTTTGTTCTTTTATAATATATAACCTTCCTCGTTATTTTTTGTTTTCTTGAGATACTATTTTGCATGTCCTAGACAAAGTGCACAATGAAGGCAATGGGCATGAAGTTGGATGTTACAACTTTTTCCTCTCAAATGTGACATTCAGTACCCGTAATGATGGGTCATTGTAATGAGATTTGACAGCCTTCTTACCATGCTCCCTGGTAAAGTCATACTTGATCCATAACATGCATTCATGTGTTATACCAAATGCTGTCACCGTCAACTTCCAATCTTGATGTTCTGTGTGTCAGAGACCGCAAGTGGCAGATCAAGTTTAAGGAGCTCTTTGGCTGGTTATCTTCTCTTCAAATCAAAACCTTTGAGGGGTGCAGTGCAGCCTGTGTCCATGAAAACAGCTGGATTAGCATAATTTAGGGTTACGTGGAAGTGATATTTGCCGGAAAGAGTAGGAGAGAAGAGGAAACTCCCTATTAACATCTGATGATAGCAGCATAGCAGCACAGAACTACTGTTTTGCATAGTTTGCTAGGAATAAAAATAATGTTTGCATCTGTGACTGGCCTGTTTGACCAGTCTACAAAGTTAGATAAAATAAACCTGGTGTTGACTCTTGCATGTGTATGTAGAATTAACTACCTTGTATTTTACAATATAGTCACATAGTGACTGATATGGACCTCAGTAATACAGATCCTGTAAACAATTATATTAATCTGCATAGTGTTAAACATTTGCAGGATTTGCTTCCTCTGCTTCAAAGTAACACAGTTAAAAGTACAGTAAAACTTTTTTTCCAAGGTGTCCATGCCAGAACCCAGGTTCTTTGGCATGTCTTTGTAAACTGCGAAGGAATGACAGCAGGTCGCATTTACCCTTGTGAGCTAGCTACCAAAGCCATGGAAGTCATCTCCAAATAAACCCTGTTTAACACTAGAGACACAAGTCAGATTTTCCATGGATACGCAAAAGAATTGCCTGAGATAGGGACACCTTAAAAGCATCCTCAAATATTCTGCCCTCGTTCCCAGAAAGGGCAATAAATACCATTGATATTGCAGGCAGTTCTTGGGTTGATTATTATTTTATTTTTTGTTGTTCCTGGGGAAACAGACTGTGGTGCTTCACCTAACATGGAGCACCGGTAGTTCACATAAATTTGAGTTGTACTGCTGCTTTAATAACTGCAAATGCAACATATACTGTATTCAATTAGTATTATGTATGGCAAAGCATAAT